CTCTAGTCCAAAGTCATGTATTGCAGCTGTCGCCACGGACTACAGGTGGCAGTCTCTCCGCCTCTTGTGGTGACTGGAACTTCAAGACCAGGCACAAGGGCGGATGGGCTTTCCCAGTGCCTGGGGCCATCAGCACCTGCCGGACAGTCCACCCAGTTGGCTGTCACCCAACCCTCCGCCCCACGATCACTGCCCCTCCTTCACTTGCTCTCACCCACTCCCCAGCGCCCTTTGTAGAATGAGTGACCACCTGCCATTGGGATGCCTGGTCTCTTCCACAGGTGCAATCTACCCCCCATCTCAGAGAAGTACAGTGCGGATGTGGGGGTGAAGACGGATGTGGTCACCGTGAACCCCAGCATCATCACAGACAGGTCAGTGGTTCTTTTCCCAGAGCTGTACGCCCCGTGATGGCAGCCACGTGTCACATGCAGCTCCACTCCCTTGACATGTGGCTGGGACAGACCCAGATGGGACACCCCTACAGCCCACTCTGGATTCCAGAGGCTTCCTGTGGAACAAAAGGACACAGCGTGGTCTCACTCATCCTGTATCCCGAAGACAGTGGAAACAGTATTTTGGATATCCGAAAGAAACCAAGCTCCCCGCCATTGAGCCGATACCAACTTATAGTGACCCTGTCGGGCAGTAGAACTGCTCCTGTGGGTTTCTGAGGCAGTTGACTCCTTATGGGACTAAAACCCCCATTTTTCAAACTGCTGACCCTGCAGTTAGCAGCTTAATGCGGAACCACTATGCCCATCCAGGCTCACATCTTTTGGATGTAGGTTAAATAAAATGTAACAATGAATGCCACTGGTTTCTACTCAACTATGTAATAAATATTTAAATCTCAGCCGAGAGTTCTACTCACACAGGGGTATTGCCTGTGATTAAATATTTGTTGAACACCTTGTTGGTTGCCATGGTGCCTATTCTGACTCCTGGTGACCCCGGGTGTGCGGAGAAGAACTGCACCCCAACAAGGGTTTTGAAGCGGGGCCCTCTGGGAATCAGAGTACCTGGCCTGTCTTCAGAGGGTGCCTCTGGGTGGGTTGAAACTGTCCATCTTTCATTTCATAGTTCTGCGCTGAACCATTTGCACCACCCAGGAAACCTATAATGGATGTGCGTCAGTCCTTAATGAATATGACGGACGTCCGAACAGTGGTTCCAGAGATGGTGCATGACCTGCTCCCCCAGCTCCCTGCTCCTGGAGGCGCCCCTCTGACTACCTCTGCTTTGAGTTTGGTCAGCGAGCTTTCCAGGGAGTGACCAGGGCCACTGTGCCCCTTACACCGAGTGTGTCCAGATGGCAATAGGCAATGGCCTTGTGCAATGATCTGGCCCCCACCCTCTTAGCACCCCACCCAGGGTCTTGGAGGCTTTGGGGGAGGGGGGTCTAAGGTGTGGAATCCCCAGCCTGGGCAGAGTCACCCCATCTGGGTCAGATGAAGCGTGAGAGGAATGGACGGTGGGAGTTGATAGACTGGCTCCGATGGGCAGGGAATGCCTTTTTGAGGGATGGGATGGGGGAGCAGTTGGCTCAGCAGTGTGTGGCAGGAGTGAGAGGGTGTGAGAGAGCCACCTCCCCATCCTTCCACTGCCCCACAGAGGGACCCCTGCAGTCACACACTGGGCATTTGGGCCCTGA